TCAAAAAAAAAAAAAGAATCATGAATCCAGGGTGGTGCCTGTGGCTCAAGGAGTAGGGTGCTGGCCCCATATAACAAAGGTGGTAGGTTCAAACCCAGCCCCAGCCAAAAACTCCAAAAATAAATAAATAAATGTGTTCTTTAAAAAAAAAAAAAGAATCATGAATCCAAGTGAGAAATTTCAAAGTGGCAACACTAGAAGAAAGATACTCAATTGAGAGCCAGGCTGGAAAAGTTAGGGCAATAAGAGAGAAGATTATTTCAGAGGTGGCATTGACATGATCTGGCACCTAAGCACGGGTGGGAGGGGAGGGAAAGTATGCATTCAGGATGACTGGCATATTGAACTACTCATTTGAACTGTTCGTCAGGTGTGGACATAAGTAACAGGACAGCAGCCCACACAAAAGAAAGAGCAGGCTTTCCTTACTTTTCTTCAGAGTTTCATTACGAGAATTTTAAACTTCAGCCATCAGAAAAGTTGAAAGAATAATACGATAACACTCCTTTTTTTTTTCCAACTGAGACAGAGTCTCACCTCTAATTCCTGGGCTAGAGTACAATGGTATCATCATAGCTAACTGCAGCCTCAAACTCTTGGGCTCAAAGTATCCTCCCAAGGAACTGGGACTGTAGCCATGTATCACACCATACTTGGCTACATTTTTTCTTATTTCTGGTAGAAATCAGATCTTGCTGTTGTCCCAGGTGATCCTTCATCCTGCCTTGGCCTCCCAAAGTGCTAGAATTACAGGCATGAACCACCACACCTAGGCCAACAATGAACATGCTTAAAGTCTCCATCTTGATTTGACACTTAGCACATTTTGCTTTATCTGTCCATATTTGTATGGTGTGTATTTTATATTATTTTATTTTTGAGACAGAGTCTCACTTTGTTGCCCTCAGTAGAGTGCCATGGCGTCATAGTTCACAGCAGTCTCAAACTGTTGGGCTCAAGCAGTCCTCTTGCCTCAGCCTCCTGAGAATGGGGACTACAGGCACCCACCATAACACCCAGCTATTTTTAGAGTCAGGGTCTTGTTGTTACTCATGCTGGTCTCAAATTCCTCTGAGCTCAAGCAGTCTGCCCACCTTGGCCTCCCAGAGTGATGTATATCTTAACTGCACTGTTGAAAATTTGCAGATATCTGGATGCAGTGGCTCACATTTTTAATCCTAGTATTTAATTTTCCCCTATTGCTCTAAGAATCTTTCATAGCTGTCCTCCCTACTCCCACTGATGCCATTACATACCCACACATACCAGGGTTCCCACATTGCATTTGACTGTTATCTTGCCTTCCTTGGATGACTTTGAATGGATACTGTGCATTTATAACATGCCTAACAGTGTGTTAACTTTTCAAAGGTTTGCCCTTGTCATTTCCTGGTCATTTGTTATTATATTATTCCTGACACAAATGCTTTCCTTAAATTGCAGTTGTGTCCAGGCCTGCCTATAACTGCCACTTACAGACATTCAACTTGCTGCCTCTCCAGATGCAAACCCTCCAAAGGACCTTGTTTTCTTCTAATTATAAGATCTTCTTTGTTACTGAAGTCCCAAGGTTCTTTTATGAGTCTTTTCCTATTTTGGACATCCAAAGATAGAATCATACATTTGCTTCTAAGGCAAATAAATAGGCTTTTTTTAAATTTAGTGACCTCAGAAAAGAGGTGTTTAGTTTTCTGTAGAAAAAGGCAGAGAGGGGAGGC